TGCACTATCTCTGTCACCATCATTCTAGCACCACCTATCCCAACACAGCCACACTAGGGACAACACCCCACCGTCGATAATACCTACGACACATGTTTCATCTATACCTACACCAGCTAAAGTAAACACTGCAGAAGCTGACCGCTAAGTTAGCATCAGTCTTAGCGGTGACAACTTCAATTGGACCACGTTTTTGTTCTACAGATCATCACGATAAAGTATTACATTTTCATATAGAATAAACTACTGTATTATAATTTGCGTGTTAATTATGGGAAGGAAATTTGTACTAATTGAAGAAAGTAACTGTGGGAATAAATTTAAGATTAGCTTTGATGTAGTGATGATGGTGATTCTAATTGTTTTGGGCTTTAAGAATAATGAAATTAAATTATCAGTAGTTGTTTAAGTGGGGTAAAAACTATCCAGTATACATTTCTTTTAATTTTTAAGAATGTTTTGGAGCGAAGAAGGGTGATCCACACTGCTTTAATAAATGTTGATGGTTTTCTCAAAAAAAAAAAAATGTTTAATCGCCTTGTTTTCATTAACTGACGATCTACACTTTAGCTTCGTTTAACGATTTTATTGGCGCTGACGAAAGAAATGTGTGATTACAATATAATTTCAACGGAAGATGTGAAAGAATTTTGTTTAATTCTCAGAGTAATAACATATATTTGTGTCACATATGCCAGACTCAAAAAACTAGTCAAACTCAGTAAGCCATACGTACTACCCACCTTAGGTTATTACTGCGCCCTGTGACATCGACTACAAATAAAAAGGCCACAGATGCCGTCCCCCCCTGAGGACTAAAGTCCGTCAAATAAATGCCTCACACTCACATAGATCGCAACATAAGGTATGAATATTAGCATTGCTATCCAAGAAATCTTAAGATTTTGTTACGGTAGTTAAACCGGCAACCTGAAAGTCAATATAGCGTGACACATAAAAACGCTAACTGTGTAATAAGTAATAGAAATTATAAGAAAAACAATGAATGAATGCTCCGCGTCATTGCTTAAGGTTTTTTGTTTGTTTGCATTACGGTTCTTGACACAGAAAGATTTTTGTTAATCTAGTGATAATAAAGTTATTACGAAACTTAAAGATTACTTTACTGTATGAATATTTTTATCACATGTAATTCTGTTTAAATAGATATGGTTTGAAGTAATTTAAAACTTCTCAGATTGAGGGTGTCCCTACAAAAGTATAACTTTTTGCCGTTATCAAGTCTTTCTAGCGATAAACATTTGCCATTAAAATGTTTTTAATTGCGGAAATAACTAAGATTTTTACTTTGAACCAAAATTTAATATTTTTAATCAGTAATAAAACTTGTCTAAGCATCAGAGCACATCAACTAAATATGACCTGAATACAAACACTCTGAGGATTAATTTCTATAGTGAGCTAAAGCAATTAAGAATCGGTCGAAAATATTACTTATCTTAACAATAACTTCAAGAAAAATTTATTTTTAGGCATTTAGCCTGCCCAGGCCCGGTAGCACTCCTGCTTATAGCGTGATGGTATTCAACAGGAGCAACCAAGCAATGGCTGAGATCTGCTTCCGATGGGCACCACAGAGGATGGAATAAAAAGTTCTATACCCTGAAGTAGCACATCAGCGACAGAGTCAGTAACAACGCTGGGATCATCCGGCGAGAAGCTAACCCGCCCCCAAGGGTAGGATGCAAAACAAGACCGCAGCCTATCCCAATAGTCCTAACTATAGTGCCAAAAACGGCGACAGCCTGCGGAAGACAACCACGACGTTAGTGTGAGTGGCTTCACACTCCGGACAAGTAAATGGTCCGACGAGCCTAGAGGGGTGTCAACGGAGCTTGATATCCGTCCGGATGAGAGGTCGGCAGAAAGTCCAATAGGGAAGGTACATGATCCTCCATATCTGGAAACCGCGTAGGCGAAGTATCCAGCTGTGTAAGACTATATGCCAAGGCAAAGTCATAAACAGATCTCCCCGCATGATCGGTTACATGTGAACCGAGCCATTCGGCGTGGTGGACGTTAAAATCACCAAGGATCACGATCTTTGCGGATGGGATCTGCTGTAGCAGGGAATCTGTAGCCATTTGGGGGTAGTCGATGAGTCCATCTGTCTCAGCATTATCGCTATTTGCTGTCTACGCGCAGCCATAGGATGGACAGGTACGTACTTTCAAGACTGCTGATGCTTCGAAAACATATGTACTCTCCCACGTATGCGTAAACTTCAAACCGGGGCACAAAGAAGTGTTCTAGTTTGTACCCTGGGTAGGAGAGATATGAAGTATTAGCCGGAGAGGATATATGAGTCTCGGTTAAAAAGAGCAAGGCTGACTTAGCCATCTCCAGACGGTAGTGGACAGCGTTAAGGTTGGAATGAAGTCCCCTGATGTTGCAAAAATTCACGGATAGCGTGACAGGGTTTGCCTTGGGTTTATTACTCCGCCGCTTGCCCCGAGCAGTTTTAGTTTTAGCGGAATTCCCCCCCCCCCCCCAGTATACGCGGGGCGGCCTGAGCACCCACGCTCAGAAAGAGTAGGATAGCTTGGTCGTAGATGCTCAGCGGGAGATTCTCCAACACCATGGGTGATGAAGAATCAATTGGGATTCCGGTCACCTGCTCTTACCAAGCGAAACGCAGAGGTAAACCTCTATTTTACGCTGGTTTTCACTGAGGTCGTAGTACCACCCCGGTTTGAGCCGAGCCATCCGTGAGACGGCAAAAGCTGCCGCCACTGTTAAAATATATTACATTAAATTATATAATAATAATAAATATAACACTAAATTAATGTGACGTTCGTTAAGAATAATGCTAGTTATTTATCTTCGATTATTTTGGTTAATTAAATACATAGAGCAACACGGAGAACATCAACAACACTAGAATAAATCCTGACCTAGTCAAAACCCTCTCAGAAATGAGAGGAGGTTTGTTCCCAGCAGTGGGACGTTTATAGGCTGTAGCTTTAAATCTTGGCTGTTATATGAGCGACTCATGACTTTAATCAATAAAACTTGAATTTCAAGAATAGGTAGAGAAATAAAATAATAATTATCTCTATTTATTCTTGAAATACAAGTTGATCTATGCAAGTTAAGTAACTGCCCGTTTGAAGAAGATTACAAAACATTTTAATGACATTACTGTATGTATATTGGCTCAAAGTGGTAATGGAAGTAATCAATTTGTGTTATCTAAAAAGAATAGGAAAATTTACTTAAGATGTCCGAGTAACATATATTTAGTTTCCTTATTTCATTATTAGGGTTATAGTGTACAAACAAGATACTTTTTCTGTGACTGTGTGTGACTGTGAATTGAAGTTTTATGTTTGATTGTTAAGAAGATATTTATACTTACTGTACTTTTAGGCTTTTTCTTTCCTCAATTTATATTATAAAGTAAATTATTTAGTATTATTTTAAATATGTAGCTTTTTATTAAATATCTAAAAACCTACTAACTACTTAGCTTTCAGTTACATTTTTACAGATTTTTTTTGAATTTTCAGTTTGGTCACTTCTAAATAAATTTAATAAAATTTACGTTATTTTACCTTTCGATATTTATAAATATAAACAATTATGAACTCTTCGATATTAATGAAAATACACATACAATAGAATCATCATCATCATTACATAATCATTACAGCCCTTCACAAGTCCAATGCTGAACGTAGGCCCCCCCAAGGTATGCCACAAAGCACGGTCCTGAGCCACCTGCATCCATCGACTTCCTGGATGCCTTACCAGTTCTACACTTCGACTACCAGTACGAGCCTGCTACTCAAGAACCATTTTTCCCCAACGGTTGTCGGTTCTTCGAGCTATATGGCCGACCCATTGCCACTTCAGCTTACTAATCCGTTGTGCTATGTCGGTCACTGGTTCTACTACGGTTATCCTCATTTCTAAGTTTATCACGCAGAGAAACCCGGATACAATAGAATACATAAACTTAAATATTTTAATTATGAATTGGATGTTTTGGCCAGACACAAGGCTGTGTGAAACACAGACTTTATTAAACCTCAATAAATAATAAATTAAATACCTCCTACCTAGATAATTTTTCTTTTATGTTATTTTTATTAGGGGTCACGTAATGTTAATTAATTCAAATTGTTCTGTTAGTGCAGCGTGCTAATTATGGAAATTGTAATAAATGTGTGGTCTTTAACCAAAATAAATTATTTTTAATTTTTTTTAACTAAAGTGTTAGTTTCTTGTTTGAATGGTGTCACACACTAAATAATACTAACGAGAGTGTCTTAACTGAACCGAACAGTTTGCTAATGATATGCTAAGTTATCGTTTAAATATAGTTGGAAACTATCAATAAACCACAATTGCAAGTAAACACCCAACGAAAAAGAATGTACTCGTGCCTACGGTGCTTGAGGAAGAGTAATTTTGTTTCCGGGTTTTAAGCGATTGTAGCTGAATAAGCTTCTAATACTAAAATGACGAAGTGAAATAACACAAGTATTTATTATGTATTATGCATGAAGAAACATTCAGCTACAACTCTTGCTTAAATAAACTCAACAATTATCGCAATTCGCAAACAATTGGACATTATTTGCGTCAGCTTGAATGGCGAAGTCATGTTTAGGTATTACGTGGACGGTGTGCTTAATACAATAACCTATTTACAAGTCTGACAGATGCTGAATTGTTCGTGCTTTTGTCTTTAAAGTGATGAATGGAAAATTTTTGCTTGCATGAAATGTTACTAGCATCTGTCAAATAGATCGGTCTTAAATGACGACGCTATTAAAACATCATACACCGTTTTTTACTTTTTAAAATTAAGATAATTATTTGTGTCTCAAACTAATATTTGTTACCATACTAAATTGAAACTTTTTTACTTTTTTTATTTTAATTTTCACCTTAAACTGATACATACAATTATGATAAACGCGTAATTACAACAGTAAGATTTGGTATTTTATAACTAATTAATATTTCAGAAACAATGCCACGGTTAGAGCAGCAGCCCCAAGAGGACTTTCGTCGAGTGTTGCGAGAGAAAGCTCTAAGTCATAGCTTGTTCTACCTCAAACTGGGCGCGGGAATAGAACCGGATAAGGCGAGGGAGCCTGCGGCCGCGCAACGCAGACCTAGTGCCAGTGGAGTTGCGTTCGCGCCTCAGACCGCGCGCGTCAGGCACGCACAGCCGCGCGTCTCCGAGCTACTGCGGCGCTTCGAACCCGCCCCCATGCAATACCTCCGCATCCCGCGGGCCGCCACTCCACCCGAAGACATCACATCCTCAGATGATGACGACCGAGCAGCCGTGAGGCGACGCAGTCGCGACTTGAGCGACGATTCCGCAGTGGAACTGGAACCGAGGCCAAGGAGGCATTCCCACCCTCGCGACGTAACACCACCTCCAGAGACAATGTCGCCAAGAAGGGAAAGGACTTTGATCGAAGCCAATGTGGTGGAGTTGGGGCGGCGGAGTAGCGAAGGATGTGAAACAAGAGGTCGTTGCGTGAGGACACCAAGTGTGGTCGTCAGCGATTATTCCGATGGAGTGGCTGTTGGTGCTACTGAGGAAGAAGTGAACTGGTTGAGGTCGAGATCTCTGTCAGCTGATTCGGCCTGCTCGTCGTGTTCTACTCTGTCAAGTCGGGAGGATGACGAGTTCGAGTCACCGACCCTACCAAAAAAGGTATGTGCTCTAATAATATTAATTCCATGTATATATTTTATAGAAAAATTATAACATATATATTGTTTAGACGTCTTTTTAAATTTAGGAATTAAACTCTCATGCAGGTTAATTATATCTTGAAATTATTTTAATACTAGTAGAGTATGTTGACATAAAGGACAGGAAAGGATGTAATAAATACTTTTTTCCTGAAAAATATTCTTACATATATGCATTATTATTTAAAACATAAGTTTTAATTGTGAATGTAGGGAATTATTTCAATTAAATAGGAAGATATTATTAAATTTCTTTTTTCATCAACAGAATATAATTGACTAATTGATTGATTTTAGTTGCATAGTAAATCGTAAAAAGTCACGGTATTATTAAAATATTACTAATAATTATGAGTTTAAACTTATCTAATTAGTAATTAGATACATTTTAAAGTGTTATTTGCTATCGTTTAACAATGAACTAACGCGACTAGTTACAAAGGAATAAGTTAGCTTGCGGATTCAGCTATGAACTTTACATTTTATATTATAAATAAAATCGATAGTTTCTGTCAATTATGTATTGTATTTTGATTGTTATCTTTAATTCTGAGTAACATTACCGTCAAATTTATTTTTTAAATAATTTCTTGAACCCAATTTTTTTAATTAGGAATAAAAAATAAATAAGCTTTAAAAATTTGTTTTGTTTTAAAATGCTAAAAAGCTAACTTAACTCAAATATCAATTTATTTTTCTTAAGTTTTAATTGTATTCATGATTTATTTAATTTTTTTAATTTCAATCCATCCAATCCGACAAATCCATTTCAAAATGATAATTATTTTTTTCATAGGTAATCAAATCAGTGTAATATGCCATTTTTATAATTATTTTCATTATAATAAAATGCATATTAGATAATGTTAATCATAGTAAAGAAAGCCGTGAAGAAAGATATTACAAGCTGTAAAAAAATCACTAAATGATATTATTTTTTTATTCTTAAAACAATATTACTCAACTACTGTAATATATATTGAAGAAGTTCGTCATCGTTTTTTATCCTTTGTTATTAATTATTAAGCGTATCGAGTCTCGACTTTGAAATCAATTCTTCATCCATTTCGTTTATCGCTAGCCTCCGTCACTTACGTCAGCAGATTTTGTACTCCGACCGGTCGTCCTGTATATTATGCTACAATTTGATACGCGTTAGTTTCGATTATCGATTTTAAGAATTCATTTTAGGTTATTAAGTGGATCGGAGAAGATTAACTTCTTCTTGCTCTGTTAGAGGTACCTAATGTCTACCACATTTGGTAAGTGGATTAATGGATCCCGTCGCCTGACTATATTACTATTCAATTAAATGACATAGTAATTATACAATTATAGTTATACAGTGCAAGCCTGCTTTTCATCAACAATTCTTTTTTTTACTGAAAGCGGATTTTTTTTAGAGGCGTTATACAAGAGATGGGCTAATTTTTGTAAATACTGATCCTTTTTATACTTTTTAAAATTTTAAACTTGATAATAAAATCTTAAAATTAGTGCTACGGTACTGGTGGGTCATAAATATTTAGGTCTTTGAAAAAGTTTATTTAGTAAAAAAATTACATTTAATAAAAAATAAAAGTCGACTTCAAAAAACTAAAAAGTATAAAATAATTTCATATTCTAAAGTCAATGTTAAGACATAGTTTATAGAAGAATACAGTAGACTGCATACTGCCGAATGTTATCAGCTGTTCGGAATTATAATTACCACAAATATATGTGCAAGCTACGCGATAATATGTACAACAGTATAATATGTACTATGGCTACGATGCAAACATATGGACGAATCCCAACTACACAATCCGATCGAAACCTAACAATGTTTTGCGCCTTTTGGCTTTGGTTAGGTTTCGAACCTGTGACGTAGTAGTGAAGTACTATGTAGTACGTCAAATAACGGTATAAAAAATGTCGTAGTGATAATTATAGGAGTCTTCTTCCTTTTTAAGGTTATACGTATACGTCGTTTAAGGGTATTAGAGTCTAAAGGAAGTTGTGAATGTTTTCGAAGCGTTGTGCGAAAAACAAACAATAGCCTCACTGTTAGAACATCACATTCTTTGTAGAGTTCAACAGTAGGGTGCATCCTACGTTTGTTCGTCATGACCTTGAGCACTGCTCTTTGTGCCAAGGCAAAATTGTGCTTTACTCTAGAGAGGGGCCGTATATGGATTTCAACGAACACGAATATTCGGCCGAAATTTCGTTAAAACTTTTACCGAACCGAATATTATTCGACAGGATCACCCTGGTAGCTAACCAATTTATATCGAAACTTGACCCTGCCATTCGCTCCCCCGCCACACCTGACATTATTACATCATCTAGTACTGAGCAAATTGCAGGCACATGCTTATGTTTTGACAAATTTGGTGAGAAAAACAGTATTTCGTTGTGTTATTCTCAGTTAAAATTGATAAACATATGATAAAAATGAGTGGCAGGTAATCTACTATTTGGACGTATATTAGAGAAACTGACGACCAAAGTAAAGTGAAATGTAATGTAATGTTTCTTTGTTTGATTACAGAAATATTTTATCAAGCTTTCTATTTGCTATAATTTGAAATAAATCTACAGTACCTCAAAAATATAACATTTAAAGTAGAATTGGCCCATAAATAAAATATACTGTAAACAGTAAAATTATGAAAGACACGGCATTACTCAATTCATACATTTCTACACAGTGGAAACTGAGTTGTTCGGTGATTTAGCCGAATATTCGGCCGAATACGAATATTCGGTAAAGCTGCCGAATATGCCGTATACCGAATGTGAAACGAATATTCGACCCATCTCTACTTTACTCCCTTTTTCAAGCATGAAAATACAGAGACGTAATTTAAGAAGTTTTTTATTTAGGAAATTGGAGCTTTTTATACCTGGTAGAGCCATGCTGCAGCTATATTATGGTTGTAGCTCGAATGGGTCGGCTCGACCGGGGAAGAACCACTCTCTCATAGAATACAGCTTAATACTGCTGTGTTTCGTATGGTGAGTGTAGAGATCCGGAGACCCTTTTTTACTGGAAAGAAGCATTCCATCTTAGTCTTCAGGAGTGACAACGCATCTGAGTTTTGATTCTTAATCGAGCATAAATGTAGATGTCTATGGGTCACAGCATCCACTTACCATCAGGTGGACTGTGTGCTTATTTGTGGTGGTTGTCGTAAGAGGCGACTAACGGAAACAAGCTAGGAAATGGGCAGAAGAGTCTTCTTGATAACAACTCAAAATTATAAAAAATGGCGGCTGCCATACCAATTGCCAAGCGTGGCAACTATGGGAAAACCCCCCTAATAAGAGAGACCAATGCTTAGCAGTGGAATTTTATACGCTGTAATGGATGCATGGATGAAACTTTATTGCGACTAATACACATTATTGTTTATTGTTTTAATGTTATCATAAATCGCAGGACGTTACATGTTATTCCGTATCAAACGTTTCCATTGTATGTTATCATGGGCTTCATATGACATATATTTAATCTGAAGCTTCATGATACAGTAATGGTAGGTCATTTACATGCGGGACGGAAGCCAGCATCCGTCAAACGCATGCGTTGTATTGTTAGTGTCGGTGGTAACTGGAGTGAGACGATTTCAATTGTGGTATTCCGCCGTTTCGTGCCGGTGCCCCGTTGTTCACACCATCAATCGTCAATGTGAAAAAAAATTTGATGAATAATGCCCATGTATAAACGCTGTTCAATTTTAACCCTTTCTCTGTCCAATGAATCATATATAAACATTTTGATTGTTTAACTGTTGTGTCCATTTCGTGGAAAGGGAAACTGTTAAGATGTCATTAAGTCTCGTGTTTTGTCTATCACTGTAACTTAACCACGAGACTTAACGATATCTTAAAATTGAGAGCGTTTTAATATTTGCCCAGAAGTGCTATATTTTTAATAAGTTTGGAGGAATACGAATATAAATATGTACAATATATCTATCCTTGATTAAAAATCAAAATGCAGATACCTAGTTACCCCTGAAGTCTAAATGGGAAGTTAACTCGTTAACAGTGAAAAGTATGTCCAACTTTAGTCACTTATCATTCGGCTCAAAGCGATATCCTATGCTATGCATTGTATGCATTACTTGAATATCAAAGTATAAAAATATATAATAATATAAAGTATACAAAGTAAAAAAATATCAAAGTTTTCCTATAAATGTTTCATCCTAATAATGGCCCTTGTTTCACTGACACTGTCTTTTTTCGATTTCATCAAACAACTGGAAGCACTTTAAGTTCGTGAACAAACAATTTTCACTATTCTCTACATAAACTAATTTTCAGCTTTTGCAAAATTTTATGACGATAAAATCAACCAAATATATATTTTAAGTTATAATTAAGGAGCCTAAATGTTATCCTACCTAAAATATGCATGTGCTGTATTCGTTTGTAATTGGTGGGTAGTACCACAGTTTAAATACCCCTTAAAACTGCAGTAGTACGTTGTAGCACAGATATAGCCACGGCTAAAGTAAATAATGGCTTTAAAAAAAAACTTCAAACTTTAATGAACCTCATCAATAAATAAGCTGGAAGAATGCCTTTGTATTGTCACGTATTTCGCTGTTTTTACATGGTAGAGCCACGCTGCAGCTCCATTATGGTAGAAACAACGTGAATGAGTCGACACACCTCGGGGAAAGAATATCAGCGTATAATAGCAGCATAATACTGCTATGTTTCATATTATGGTGAATGACGAGAACCGAAAACTCTTATTACTGGTAATAAGATATTCTATATTAATTAAAACGTGCTATGAACGTATCAAGCACGTAAAAACAAAACAGTGAATAGTAAATACTTAGCCCACTACGTGATAATGTATCATCGCCGATCGATATGTGTACTTACGACTATGATGTCTGTTCTATCGTTTGTAAATCATTAGAAAAATATCTGTGAGAGAATTAGCAATGATTA